TAGGTTGGATAAGTACATGAGTGGGAGGGGTTGGACTTGAGTGGGACTTTCACATCAGAGCTTATTTCTTGGGTGGCATTGAAAATTGGGTTGGGCAAATGTTTTGTTAGTGGGATGAATTGTAAAAGACCTGCCTAGTATGGGCCAGCAGGCCTCCTGCAGTGTTCCTCCTTTCTTATGTTCTTATGAAACATAGAACAACGTTTTATTTTTCCTGCCTTCAAATTTGGCGCGATATGCCTGAGAGGGCTAGACATGATAGAATGGGTCTGCACACTCAGTGTGTGCAGTATGAAAAAAAATCAGGTACCTCACAGTACCGCACAGTACCACCAGTTAGACACAGCTCCAGCTTGGGTCATCAGTCACGCCTCTTCGTATTAATACCCTATTATTTGAGGAAAGTGATATAGAACCCAAGTTTTGTGGATCTGAAACTGATGTGGCCATAAATGATTGAGTAATTAGTGCAAATATTGATGATAACCCAGATGACCCTTGGCCCATCACCTCTGGGGTAGCCAGTGTGGCCACACCAGATCCCCAGCCCAGAACCTCTGGGGTGGCCAGTGTTAATACTCAGAGGCAACTATGCATGCAGAAATCATCATTTTCTTGCAGTTTTGGTGATGACAATAGTGAAAGTGATAAAAGTGATGATGAGATTGAATTTATGCCCTTAGAGGCTGCTTTAAGTGACAGTAATGTACATTATTCCCCTGTGCCACATGCATGTGGCACACTGCCACATGCAGTCCCTAAGTGTTGTGGAGGTCACGATCAAAAACCCTGGCCACTGATAGTGATACCAATCATGAACCAAATTAACCAAACAAACACTATACATTATCACCTACCAGTAACTCAAAAATTCCCAAATAATTTATGACTGCTCAATTATTTAACCCTTAAACTGTCCACATGTTTGTAAATATAAGACATATTAAACATGATGCAAGTAATAGCACTGTCACTTGCTCAGCAATCAGGGAGGGCTCATAAACCAAAAACCAACAGGTTTACCAGCTGCTCCCTGAGACAGAGACAGAATGGAGAGACAGACACACACAGGCAGACAGAAAGACAGATAAGCAGAGCTAGACAGAGATAGACAGATAGACAGAGATGTTTGTGTGCAAGAGTGAAAACAAATAAAGCCAGGGCTCCCTGCAGCAGGCACATTCATCAAATGTCACTGGCTGTCACCAATTATCCGATGCTTGTCATAACAGCATTCTTCAAGGAGCTTCATATATACTCCAGGCACACACAGGCAGACAGAAAGACTTATTTTGCAGGTACAATCACTAAAAACGCTGTGATAATATGAAATGTTCCGATTGTATGCGTGGATGCGACCGCACTGGCTGGCTTGTAAACACTGGCACCCACGGGGCAGCTGAGGCATGCTCAGATGAATCGCGTGAAGCGAGTTTTTTAGCGTAAGGTGAGGCAAAATTTTTGTGTTAAAATGTATCATATGGTGGATTTAACGTAAGGTGATGCCATTGTATGGTGGGGGTCCACTGTATTATAAATTGTAATTATCAAAACATAAAAATTATACAAATTAAAATAAAAACGAGAAAAAAAGGTATGCTGGCAATACTTCTGCAAGCCGGCAGGACTCGATGTTGCCATCAGGTGAGCATCCAGGACCAATTTCCCAGTCTTATATCTCGGTAAATACTGGTCCTAAAAAAAATTTTTTTTTTTTTTGGTCTTATACCACACAGAAAATTGCCCTCTTTAATTTAAAACAAAAAAAATTTTTTTTTTTATTTTTCAAAATATTCGGAGTGCTACGCATTTGAACGTAGATCTACATTTGGACAGTTAAGCGTTAAGCATTATTTTAAACTTAAAATTTGTCTAATCTTATTATTGTAAATTGTGCTTAATTGTAATACACCCTCTTCGTTGATCTCTGTTATCATTGATTTCTGCTTTTGCCGACTTTTGGTTCCGTTTTTGCCAATTTCCTCCATTTTCGTCAATGGTACGGAACCTGTCCAGTACCCAGCACGCAGACAAAGCCGCCTCCCACATACATTCTCAGGCAGTGTTGTGTTGTTTCCTGGTGAATGAACATATTCTGCGAGGTCACACACGAAACATTTCATAATAATCCATTGTTTTTGGCACTTGTTTTTTGTGTGTGACTACTAAATAAGCCACCATGGGCCCAAAGAAAGCTTCTAGTGCCAGCCCTTTGGTAAAGAATATGAGAAACACAATAAAATTTAAGAAAAAGTTTGTAGAAAAATACGAAAGTGGCGGTGGTAGAGGGTGGTAGTGGTAGACAGTGGTAGTGATGGTGGTAGAGGGTGGTAGTGATAGTGGTAGACAGTGGTAGTGATGGTGGTAGAGGGTGGTAGTGATGGTGGTAGACAGTGGTTACAATGGTGGAAGAGGGTGGTAGTGATGGTGGTAGAGGGTGGTAGTGATTGTGATGGTGGTATGGGTGCCTTCTTCAGTGATTCTACTAACTCCTCCAATGTTGCTGGAGTTATATAGGGCTACTGAAAACACCGCCGCCTCTGCTGCTGCCTTCACCACCACTATGTATGGCTTATGCTCTCAGTGGCCCTTGTACACCCAACAACAACAACAACAGAACACCTCTCATGACATACATAATGACTTATTTTATTCATTCTAGAGTACAGGTACCATCTGACTTACGATCAAGCTTGGTTCCGACTAACCGGTCGTAAGTCAAAATGGACGTAAGTCAAACCTTTGAAAATTGACGACATGCTGAGTAGGGCATAATGTCAAACCTTTCCAATATAAACTACCTACATAGTACTGTAATGTAATATACAATCATTATTTCATTCTTTTTATCATAATTTACTTCTATTGTTATATTTTAATTATTTATGTACTGTATATTATGTATACATGGTAGTGAACTGTTTTGTAAATTTTACATCGCATACAGTATCATATGTTACTGTTATCTTTATGTATTGTCGACACAGTGGAATGGGAGAATACCACTGGTAGTGTCATCCTGCCGAAATGTAGTATAACCTATTCCCTAAGTAAAGAGAAACAACTGTGGAACGTGTAATACGTATCCGGCTGGCTGGCTGGCCGGCCGGGTGGGCGGTTGGCTGACTGAATGTGGAGGGGGGCTGTCTGTCTGTCTGTCTCTCTGTCTCTCTCTGTCTCTCTCTCTCTCTCTCAGATACACATAAGCAAAGTTATCATACATAGTATAAATTACCTAGGATAACCCAAAAAATCCAGACAAGGTGCTATACAGTGGATCTGTGCTCCAGTGCCCTAAATTAATAATAATAATAATAATAATAATAATAATAATAATAATAATAATTATTACAATAATACATATGTACTAATATTAATAATAATATTATTAAACTATAATATAATAATCGTGTCCACTCATTACTTACCTTAAAATGACTGTAGTCTTAATGTAGAGTGAGAGGTGAGTAAACAAGATTAAATGAATAAATGAGAGAGAGAATGAAAGGGTAGAAGTTTCACGAGTTATGTAAACAAACGTTGTTGTTGTTGTTACCAGCCCGGACACGAATGATTTCTGTTCACTCTGTCAAGCCGACCAGAAAAACATCTCATATTTGTTAATTTATGTCTATATGTTATGTAGCATGTTTATTATATAATTTTGAAAAAAATTCATAGATGGATTAAGCAAAATGTCTATATTAACGTTTTATACACATTTAATGCGCCTCAGTGATTATTATTGTGTTATTATCATTATTAATATGGCGTCTTCAAGATCAACTACATTCTTAATGAGTGGCTCTGAAACAGACAACAGACAGACAGACACAGGTAGACAAAGAGACACACAGGTAGACAGAAAGACACACTGGTAGACAGAAAGACAGACACACAAGTAGACAGAAAGACAGACACACTGGTAGACAGACACACAGGTAGACATAAAGACAGACACACTGGTAGACAGAAAGACCGACACACAGGTAGACAAAGACAGACACACAGGTAGACAAAGACACACAGGTAGACATAAACACACACACAGGTAGACAGAAAGATACACAGAGATACAGACAGACACAGATATACAGGCAGACAGATACAGACAGGTTTATGTGCAACACTGAAAACAAATAGAGAGTTCGAGAATAAGAGCCTTTCTTGCCACAATCTCCAGTGCAAGATTCAGACTTCATCTTAGGGGCCATGGTGAAATTTACTGTCCAGTTAATACAGTTAATACAGTATGATGCTGCTCATAGGGCAGGGTTACTCAAAGTGATGCTGCCTGCATGATGCATTGCCGCCGCAAGTATTGTCAAATATTGTACAGTGGTGTGCATCAGCCGGCCCAGCCCAGCTGCCAGATGCACGGTCGTAAGTCGAGTGGACGTATGTCGAGGTCGTGAGTCGGATGGTAGGTGTATATGCCATGTTTCTATGTTATTAATATTGTTTATTATGTCATATTGGTTGAATTGTGATAGATAAATAAGCCGTGGAATATAGTTCTTCTCAATAAAATGTATTTTTTGTTTATACTTTTGGATGTCTGAAACGGATTAATTGGATTTACATTATTTCCTTTGGGGAAAATGGTTTCAGATTTAGTCGATTTCACATTTCGTTGGGCTCTCTGGAACAAATTAAAGATGAAAAGGGAGGGTCCACTGTATATACTACTGGGCTCTCATCATTCCTTTCTCTAACCCTGTTGGTTTGTACACACAGCTGGTCATAATCCTCAGCTTTTTCAAAGGTTGCATAAGAAGCTCTGCAGTTAAGGAGTAGTACACCTGGAGGGTGTTTTGGGAGTCAAATCTCCAGTGGCCTGCTCCGTGACCAGGCCTCGTAGTGGATCAAGGCTTGATCAACCAGACCCTGATCCACCTGATCAACTGCTGGCTGGACGCAAACCGATGTACAAACCACAGCCTGGTTGGTCTTTAATTTTACTGGTAATATAACGTGTGCCAAAAAATAGCAAAACAAAATTCAAATATATTTTTTATTATTTACTCAAAGTCTATTTAACAGGAAACAATAAAATTTATGACATCACTTGAGCTCCCTTGCTAGAATTTTTTATTACTCAATTAACTGTATTAAAGAAACACATACAAACATACAAAAGAATCTATATTACCAAAGGCAAACCCAGTCCAGTGCGTGCCCATGGGAAGACTGCAAGTGCCTCCTGTAATCGATCAGCAATAGGAGACACAAGATTTGGAGGAGGAAATATTGCCTTTGAGCAGACAGGGCATTTATATCCAGCAGGTGCTGTGTTGGGTGGTAATCGGCTTGCCCAATCATTTAGGCACTCTTTGTGAAACAAATCTAGAGGAAAAAAGAAATAAAATTATTAGTAATTAGAAATAAATATGAATTTTATTTTCAAAATATATAGCAGTTTGATCATTTGGGTCAATAAAATATTTGTTTTCTTACTGTCCATCTCCCAATGAGATAGGATAACCCATAAAAGGTGGGAATGCTTTTACTGTCACTTATTCAATTACTGTCTTGCAAGAAGCATTGTGACATCACAGCTCAGTTGGACTTCTGAACTGCCACATCTCCCACTCCTCCCATCCAAGTGCAGGCACTGCACATACATTCTACCTTCTGAACTGAAGTCTGGCTAACCAGTTTCCTTGAATACTCGCACTCCAACAGACAGCACATTGAGTCATAAAACCCGCTTGCTTCCACTCACTTCTATCTAGCATGCCCATACAAGCTTGTTAGATATTCAAGTCTCTACCCCTCTTCTTCAACTGCATGGGCCTATAAATTTGTGTAATACATTACTGTACTATTCACGTTAAATTAACTATGTTCTGTTAGAATAAATTTTCACATGAATTCTAATGAGTATTTGATACCCATTATTGTATACAGTAGGCCCCCACATTATGGCATTTTCCCTTACAGCATTCCGCTAATACAAACATTTCAATTTATGACCAAAACTCGCTATACAGCTCCCCCCACCTGACCTTCTAATACAGTCACCGTACCCCGTCTGGTTTGTTTACATTCTCCATGAGCACCGTGTCCCTCCATTACGTCTGGAAACTTTCCAAATTTCAAGTATTTTCAAGTTATTTCATGTTTTATATATATACAGTATGGCCTCACTTATACGGCAGGTTAGGTTCCAGGCTATCACCGGAAAGCAGAACACCATTTTTTTCCATTTATAAATGCATATAAATGCCAGACAACAAGTTTACACTAACTTATATTAAGTTAGTAATAGAACTAGGTATTAAAAAACACAATAAAAAGTAAAATACATACACAGTACATTCATTACTTACCTTAAAATACTTGTAGTCTTAATACAGGGCGAGAGGTGAGTAGTACCTATTTGTAGGAAGTCAGGTGTTTATCTGGAGTTCAACTGGAGAGGATTTTGGGGGCCAACACCCCTGCGGCTCAGTCTGAGACCAGGCAGCATGGTGGATCAGGGTCTGATCAACAAGGCTGTTACTGCTGGCCGCACAAAAGCTGACATATGAACCACAGACTGGTTGGTCAGGTAGTGACTTTAGGTGCCTGTCCAGTGCCTTCTTGAAGACAGCCAGGGGTCTATTGGTAGTCCCCCTGATTTATGCTGGGAGGCAACTGAAAAATCTTGGGCCCCAGACACTTATTGTGTTGTCTCTCAGTGTACTCGTGGCGCCCCTGCTTTTCATCGGGGGAATGTTGCATCTCCTGCCGAGTCTTTTCCTTTCATAGGCAGTGATTTTCGTGTGCAGGTTTGGTACCAATCCCTCCAGGACCTTCCAAGAGTATACATGTATTATCATTTCTCTCTCTCGCCTGCATTCCAGGGAATACAGATCAAGGACCTTCAACTGTTCCCAGTAATTTAGGTGCCTTATCATACTTGTGTGTGCCATGAAAATTCTCTGTATTCTCTCCAGGTCTGCAATGTTTCCAGCCTTGAAGGGGGTCATTAGTGTACAGCAGTATTCCAGTCTAGACAGAACAAGCGATTTGAAGAGGATCATCATGGGCTTGGCATCCCTAGTTTTGAAAGTTCTCATTATCCATCCTATCATTTTCCTAATGGATGAGGTAGATACACTGTTGTGGTCTTTGAAGGCGAGATCCTTTGACATTATCACTCCCAAGTCCTTCACTGGCTCCCCGTCTCATACTTAATATACGATATTTAAAGCAGCCCAGAGAGATAAAATACACATACAGTACACTCATTATTTACCTTAAAATGTGTAGTCTTAATGTAGGATGAGAGGTGAGTAGTGTTTATGTGTATGAAGTCAGAGTAGGTAGGCGGTAGGTGTGGCCCACCTGGGCTACACCTACCGGCTACCTACACTGCAGTCCTGAGCCATATTATTAGCATCAACATACCTTGTTCACTGAATTTAATTGTTTCTAACAACTACCTTTTGTGATGTCACCGTGGTTGTTTAATATATTTATAGATGGGGTTGTAAGAGAAGTAAATGCGAGGGTCTTAGCAAGAGGCGTGGAGTTAAAAGATAAAGAATCACACATAAAGTGGGAGTTGTCACAGTTGCTCTTTGCTGATGACACTGTGCTCTTGGGAGATTCTGAAGAGAAGTTGCAGAGATTGGTGGATGAATTTGGTAGGGTGTGCAAAAGAAGAAAATTGAAAGTGAATACAGGAAAGAGTAAGGTTATGAGGATAACAAAAAGATTAGGTGATGAAAGATTGGATATAAGATTGGAGGGAGAGAGTATGGAAGAGGTGAATGTATTCAGATATTTGGGAGTGGACGTGTCAGCGGATGGGTCTATGAAAGATGAGGTGAATCATAGAATTGATGAGGGGAAAAGGGTGAGTGGTGCACTTAGGAGTCTGTGGAGACAAAGAACTTTGTCCTTGGAGGCAAAGAGGGGAATGTATGAGAGTATAGTTTTACCAACGCTCTTATATGGGTGTGAAGCATGGGTGATGAATGTTGCAGCGAGGAGAAGGCTGGAGGCAGTGGAGATGTCATGTCTGAGAGCAATGTGTGGTGTGAATATAATGCAGAGAATTCGTAGTTTGGAAGTTAGGAGGAGGTGCGGGATTACCAAACCTGTTGTCCAGAGGGCTGAGGAAGGGTTGTTGAGGTGGTTCGGACATGTGGAGAGAATGGAGCGAAACAGAATAACTTAAAGAGTGTATCAGTCTGTAGTGGAAGGAAGGCGGGGTAGGGGTCGGCCTAGGAAAGGTTGGAGGGAGGGGGTAAAGGAGGTTTTGTGTGCGAGGGGCTTGGACTTCCAGCAGGCATGCGTGAGCGTGTTTGATAGGAGTGAATGGAGACAAATGGTTTTTAATACTTGACGTGCTGTTGGAGTGTGAGCAAAGTAACATTTATGAAGGGGTTCAGGGAAACCGGCAGGCCGGACTTGAGTCCTGGAGATGGGAAGTACAGTGCCTGCACTCTGAAGGAGGGGTGTTAATGTTGCAGTTTAAAAACTGTAGTGTAAAGCACCCTTCTGGCAAGACAGTGATGGAGTGAATGATGGTGAAAGTTTTTCTTTTTCGGGCCACCCTGCCTTGGTGGGAATCGGCCAGTGTGATAATAAATAATAATAATAACTACCTTTAGATGCCATCATAAACGAAGAGAGAAGTTATGAATAATTCATGCTGAAAATTGTAAACAAAAGCAGAGTGGGGGAGTGACTAGGCCAAACACAGATTCATACATGTTTTCTCTGGTGCTGGACCAGAGAAAACGTAATTTTTCCCTCTGCGAAATAAATGCGTATTAATACGTGTCTACTTTTAGTTGATTCATGTACGTTTGTAATAGTTTGTAAAACTTTTACCTCACACTGTTTTTTTTATAATAATTACCTCACAATACAAATACTCTTACATTGTGTACAAGTTGTACAAGCTAGTACAGAATAAACAGCAACACTCCCATTCTCATGCAACACACCATTTTTAGAGTGAATGATGATATTATCATTATAATAAAAATGAAGCGCTAAACCCACAAGGGTCATGAATTGCTATATACAGAGTGAAGGCATACGAAAGGAGTATTTTTCTAGTTATCCCCCAGTGTTTGACTAGAGAAAATGTAATTCTTCCAACACTACCCACAAAGCTGCTTAGTAAACAAATCTCATATGTATGTCAATTTTTATTCTGTGAGTGTATGTAACATGTTTATATTCTACGTAACCCGTTTCTTACATAATTTTGAAGAAAATATCATAGATGGATTAATGTCTATATTGACGTAAAATAAGACATTTAATGTGCCCAAGAGTGATTATTATTACGTAGTACAGTGGTCCCTCGATAATCGTTGGGCTCGATAGTCATCTTTTTTGGAAATCATCGCGTTATTTTCATCCAAACACTGGCTCGCAAATGGTCGGTTGACTCGCTAATCGTCGTTCGTCCTGGATGCGTACTCACGGCTCTGAGCCGCCTCGGCCTCCCTTCCCAGCCAGTGTGCCATTGTTTACCAGTGAGTGATGGTCCCCTCACTTGTTCATATGAAATATTTCATAATATTCCATTCATTTTAGTGCTTGCAAGTGCTAAATAAGCTACCATGGCTCCAAAGAAAGCTCCTAGTGCCAAGCCTTTGGTAAAGAAGGTGAGAAATACAACTGAATTTAAGAAAAACATCATTGAACAATATGAAAGTGGCGTACATGTGGCCGAACTGGCCAGGATGTATAACAAACCCCATACAACCATATCTTCCATTGTGACAAAGAAAAACAAAATCAAGGAAGCTGTTGTTGCTTGGAGAAAATTGTGGCCAGATTGCGTCCACAAGTGGGATTTTGAAGGGTTTGTGGCTGACCCTGATGAGCCTACATCAGTTGTGAAATCTATTGCGGCATTGGGGAGTTCCATGGGGTTGGATGTGAGTTTGGAGGATGTGGAAGAGTTGGTGGAGGACCACAATGAAGAGCTAACCACTGAGGAGCTGCAAGAGCTTCAGCAGGAACAGCAACAGATCGCAGCTCAGAATCTTGCTGCAGAGGAGGAGGAAGAGAGATGGAGAAGGTGTCTTCTTCAGAAATTAAGTAGATTTTTGAAATGTGGGGTAGAATGGAAAGAGTTATGAAGAAACATCACCCTGAGAAGGATGTTGCAAGCCATATCGGCAACTTGTACAGAGACAGAGTCTTGGCCCATTTTAGGGAAGTTTTAAATAGATGCCAGAAACAAGAGCTCTATGGACACTTTTTTTGCGAGACAGGACTCCAGTGACCCTCAAGCTGGTCCTAGTGGCATTAAGAAACAGAGAAGAGAAGTATGTAACCCCAGAAAAGGACTTGGTACCTGAGGGGTTGATGGAAGGGGATTCCCCTTCCAAACAGTAACTAATCCACTCTCTCTCCTCCTCCAGTCTTCCATACACTAAGAAGAATTGCCAATAAAGGTAAGTGTTATGCTGTTAATGTTCCATTCATCATGTCCCATTGTATTGTTTATGTACTACATCTATATTTCATGTAAAAATTTTTTTTGTTTTAATACTTCTGGGTGTCAGGAATGGATTAATTGTATTTACATTATTTCTTATGGGGAAAATTGATTTGAAAATTGTCTTTTTCAATAATCGTCCCACTTCCAGGAATGGATTAACGACGATAAACGAGGGACCACTGTATTAGCATCATGAGTAGAGAGACTCTTAATGATTTTAATGTGTACCTGCATGCCAGCACAGTGTGTAAATGTAAGTACAGGTATACATAAGTATAATTATCAGAGTACATAAAAAATATGCAATAACTTTAAAACACTTGAAATTTTGGAGTTTCCAGACATAATAGATGTGCTCATGGAGAATGTAAACAAACCGGGTGGGGCGCACCATATTTGAAAGACCGCTTGCTGTATAGCAAATTTTGGTCATAATTGGAAATTGCTGTATTAGCAAAACAGCATAAGGCGAAACCCTGTAAAGCAGGGCCCTACTGTGCTCTCATAATTATACTTGTGTGTACCTGTACCTAAATAAACTTACACACAGTGCTGGCATGCAGGTATACATTAAAATCACTAAGAGTGTCTTATTAGTCTTGAGGATGCCATATTAATAATGATAGTAATGATAATATGCAATAATAATCACTCTGAGGTACATTAAATGTCATACATTATGTTAAAATAAACATTTTCATTAATTCATCTATGATATTTTTTCAAAATTATACAATAAACATGCTACATAACATATAAACTTGATAAATACACCCCACAGTAGAATAAATTAACACAAATATGAGATCTTAGGTTTAGATGAATGTGTATGAACCAAAACCAGATGCGTTTGTCTGCTTGTTTACATTCTCCGTGTCTCTCTCCTCTCTCATATACTCATTCTCTCTCATTTATTTGTTTTACCTCATTTACTCACCTCTCACCCTACATCAAGATTACAAATATTTGAAGGTAAGTAATGAATGTACTGTATATGCATTTTATTGCTCTATCGGGCTCTAAATGTCGTAGTATATTATGTGTGGGTGGGGTGGCCTGGCCTGGCTGGTCACCATACCTCCCACACCTGACTTCCTTCAAATACTACTCACCTTTCACCCTATATTAAAACTACAAATATTTTAAGGTAGCTAATGAATGTACTGTATGTGCATTTCATCGTTTTGGGACGCTTTAAATGTCATAGTATATTACATGTGGGTGGGGTGTTCTGGCTGGATACCATACCTCCCACACCTGACTTCCTACAAATAAATACTACATACTCACCTCTCACCCTACATTAACCCTTTGACTGCCGAAACCCCAAATCCTGAGGTGTCTCCTGGTGTTGAAAAATTTTTGAAAAACAAAAAAAAAAACAAAAAAAAAAAACTTACGAAATGACAGAGAATCTTTTCCCAATGGTAATGACATGAAAAGAATGAAATCTGATGGAAAACTGATGGAATTATGCTCTTGCGAAGTTAGCAACCTTGGCGATATTTATGAATCGGCAATTTTGCCCACTTTGAGCCCTATTTTCAGCTAATTCCATTGTTCCAGTCGACCAAACTCATAGCTATTTCTTTAGAACTCCATTTTTTCTATCGATTGAGTACAAGAAACTGCCTATCTACCGATTTCAACTACCCAATAACATGGTCAGAAATTTGTAATTTGGCCAATTTCACAAAAATTAAAAAATATGACAATTTCAAAATAGGGTCCAGAATGAACAATGCAGACATGTCAACCCATTCATGACGGCATATTAGAATGGCTAGTTGGACATTTATTGGACAATGACACCATTTGTTTACTTTCGAACATCGGCAAAAATCAAACATTTCCCCTAATTTGAGCTCCATTTTAAGGTTCTTTTCATAGTAAAACCAATCAAAATCGCCTCTATTTCTATAACATGTTTTCCATTCTATCAAATGAGACCAAGAAAACGAGAATACTATACGAAAATAGACCACGAAGTTGGCATTTTAATTAAAAAAATGGTCGGAGTTTTTTTTTGTCTCATTATGCGCTGCGTGCTGCAGGATTTTTTTTATATGGTGCATATTGACCACACAGACTCTTTCTCTCACATGTGGGCTTACCAGCTTTCTCCTGCTTGATTTGAAGCTGTTAGAATTTATGAGTATATACGTATACGTCAAACACGATGGCTAGTAAGACGTATATATACAACCGAAACAAAGGGATAAGACTACAAATATTTTAAGGTAAGTAATAAGTGTACTGTATATGCATGTTACTGCTCTAGGGGTGCTTTAAATGTTGTAGTATATAATGTGTGGGTGGGGTGGTCTGGCTGGCTACCATACCTCCCACACCTGACCTCATACAATAAATACTACTCACGTCTCACCCTACATTAAGACGGCAAACCTGTATCATCATTTTAAACTCAGGTGAAATATGTAGGCTATGAGAACTAGCTAAACATTTATAGTCAAAATTTGTAATTCATAATTTTTCATTTGAAAAATTATGAATTACAAAGACCATTCCAAATTTAAAATCTAAAATTCTACATTTGAAGAAAATCTAAATAAAACAGAAACACAGTATAGAGTAATACTGAATTCATGTAAGCTGATCTTTGTTGACTAATTCTAAAAATACTGCAAATAATTATTACCATAACATACAAGACGTATACACTCCCCTGTGGCTAACTGGTCATCACATATCCGGCACACAGGATTGTAATCACTGTCATCTAGCCAATGAAGGTATGACTGGACAACACACTGTAAAATAAGTGAATAAAATTTAAATACATTTAATGTATTCTGCTCATTAACTAAGTATAATTAAATAAATATATCTGAAAACAATGAGGAAAAAAATACATTCTAAACAACTAAGTTATATTTCATTATATGAACAGAATAATAAATAACTGCTTAGGCTTGTGCAGCTACAGCTCTTATTGATGCTCATGTAAAATACTATATTCAGATCAACCTGGAGATTAGTAACCTAGAATAACCCAAGAAAGTCGATTAATATGGCTCATTTCAAATGGTATCCTGTGGCCTTATCACCAGGATACAACCTATAACAGGCAGGTGACTTTTGCTATTAGGTTTGCAGTAGACGTTACTAGACTTGCTCATATATCTTGCCCCTGCCCAAGATTGAACCCAGGTCCCTCAGTTGTGAGTTGAATGAGCTACAAGTGAGTCACCTTCATCACTCTCAAGACTTAATCAAACATATTCGGCCACATTCAACCTGTAAAATGCTAAGTCTTGGTGTTGAATTATAATCCCTCTTGATGATCTCAATTTTTTAAGAGTGAAGGCAAGTGAAGGGTTACTTCACCTCCCTACACCTACTGATGTCTTTCTTGATCTGATCTTATTTATCTTTGTGTGGACTCCAACTCTTTGTCCTTTCAAGGTAAATTTTACTCTTAAACCTTCAGTACTGGGCTCTCCTCTATTCCCTCGTCTTGCTAACCATTATATGGAATACTTTGCAACTGTTCTACTTCTTACTACTGGGGTGCACCCTTCCTTCTGGCTTTGATAAGTAGATGATATCTTTGGTCTTTGGCTGCATGACTCTAGTCTCTTCCAACCATTAGTTTTTCAGTCAAAAATTTATTTCCACACGATACAATGTTTGTACAGAGATTGGTGACATTTGATTATGCATGCAGAAAGACCATGGTTATGCTGAGCATTTCGGCTAAGCAATAGCCTAACTTGGGACTACCTGCTGCCCCTGTTCACCTAGCAGTAAATAGGTAACTAGGTGTTAGCCAACTGGTGTGGGTTGTATCCTGGGGAGAAAATTAACCTAATTTGCCTGAAATGTTCTGTATAACAAAGGACTTTCTATACAGTATATCACTGATGTCAGCTTGGTCTGTATAAGTTGTATCATGTACTTGTAGAAATAAAGATTATTGTTATTATTACAATGACAATAATTATTATTTGTTTATATTTATGGATATTAAAGGTAAAAACAACAAATTAAGGCATTATAAACAGGACAAACAATCTTGCTCCTTCCACAAAGTTCAAAGCTGAACAGGGATTTAACTCTTTGCTTCCTTTCCTTGATGTACATCTCCACCGCATGACTACAGGCTTTTCTTTTTCTGTTTAAGTCACTGCACAGTACCTTGTGCATTCACTATTTTTCTTACCATGCTGTCAAGAAAAGCATTCTTATCTCTCTCTTTTCTTGGCCTTTGCATTTGTGACCCTCAGTTCCTTGACTTGGAAATTTCCACTCTTTGCAATACATTCTCTAGCCTTGGTTACCCTTCCAATTTCATAAACTCTGCTTTCTCACATGTTAAACAGACTTTCTTCTCACCCAACTCTTTACTCCTGTGAAATCTCCTGTACTTTGCCTTCCCTATATTTCCAGTCTCCCTAATCTTTAGAACTTCTGCTCCTTACACATCAAACTTACCCTAGGTAGTAATCTAGGTTGTATCTCTTCTCCTGCTACTGATGCTTCCACAGTCTACTCTATTTCCAGTTCCTCTTGTCCTCTCCAATACTTTAGAGAAGCTGGCCTCTTTCTGACAGGCTTAAAGAGTACAAAAGAAGTGTTAGCCTTACCAACACTAATAATGTCTTTTCTGTCGCATTAGAGGTCACAGTCATCCCATTAACTGATCCTCAGCCAAAGCTGTCTACTCTTCTTCTAGCCCTCACAAATGCTGTCTTGTTGAAGCATCCCTTATACATAACCTTCCTAACATGCATCTTAGTCCTGGCTTTGTCTCTGTAGATGCCTTCCTCTCTTATTACATTGTCAAAGGATCGAAACTTCAGAACATTTGACCTGATCTTTATCTCCTCTGCTTACCTCTTCTCCTTTTGCTATATTTTATTTTTTTGCCTTTCCTTTCTTCTGCCTAAACGAATTCTATCCTATTAATTCATTCCCCCCCCCCTGGTTTTTGGTACCATCCTCGTGAGCTATTAGCTCAGACTCTTGTGTCACTGCCACTACTCTTTTCTTATTGCCACTTCTACCACTATTGCACTACTTACTACTACCACCACCACCACCACCACTACCACTACTTATGCCATTATACTACAGGTCAGCCATCACTAATCTGGCATCACTGGGACCTGTAGAGTGCCAGATTAGTGAGTTTGTCGGATTACAGAGTGGTTAGGTTAGAATACACTTAACCTATGAATAGAGACTTTCTGCTACATCTTCCTCATTTTCATCACTGCTTTCTCCTCCACTGGCTTGCTGCTGTGGATTTACAACCATATGCACAATTTTTGAGTCAGTATAATGATGAAATTTGAGTTAGTATAATGATTTGATTCAATATATGGGTGAAATTTGAAAATATGCTAGCCGAAATTAGTGCCGGATTACTGATGGAACCGGATAACTGATTGCTGAATCAGTGATGGCTGACCTGTACCTCCTCTCATTCTCCTGGCCTTGCTCACTCTCTCTCTCATATATGTACTGGCTCCTTTCCCTAGGGGTTTCTGTGTGGCTAGTTAATGGTCAAAATTGTAATGAAACATTATCATAAGTTTCATTTCTCACATGTGCAGGTTATTTGTGTATTGTTCCAGTCACAGTAAGATAAGATTTGTTTGGATTTTTAACCCGGAAATATAGTAAGTACACGAGACGCACAACTGTCTCGCACTGAATGACCCAAATGGGTCAGCATGTCTTGTGCTGAATGACCCAAATGGGTCAGCATGTCTTGTGCTGAATGACCCAAATGGGTTTAGCACAGGGGTGAGGAACCTTTTTATGTTGTAAGGCCGCATTAAAGATAGCTGTAATCTAATAAGGCCGCATTCAAAAAATTTTGATTAGATATACAGTAGACTGTCATTTAACATGGCAGTTACGTTCCTGAAAACACCGTGTTAGACAAAACCGTGTTAGACAAACTGACAAACTTATGCAAAAAATAGGGTTACATTCCTGAGAGCCCCCAAAAAGCCAAACAAATTTTTTTTAGACCTCCAGATCTTACAAAAATAAAAGGAATATGTAATTGTAGTTCATTGTTGTGATGTATTATGTTGTTTTTACTGCTTAACCCTTTCAGGGTCCGTCCCGTAGATCTACGGCTTCACGTTGAGTGTCCAAACCGTAGATCTACGCCACAATTCTAGTGCCATCAAATTTAGCGCGAAAGCGCTCATAGGCCTACATGTGAGAGAACGGGTCCGCGTGGTGGGTGTGCACCATAAACAAAAAATCTAGGCACCCGCATAGCATTGTGGGAACGCCGGCTCAGTTACCCTTGTTCACCATGCCTCGTCGCAAGTCAGCTCTCACTCCCCGGAAAATTGGGACTCTCCTCTTCCTATCTGATAGTTCTGACACTGATGGAAGTGGAAATAAAGACGAATTCTATGGCTTTGATCAGTTAGTGACCGAAAAGAATGACCAGGATATCGATAATAGTGCAGAAAACCCTGACGATCCTCAACCTTCTACCTCTGGTGTGGGCACTCGTGACTCACGGTCGGTTGTTCCTGAATGCAAGAGAAAACTAATATTTTCGCGTGGCCAGGCCTCTGACTTCAGTAATGATGATGATAGTGACGGGGATTGTGATTTTATTGCGCTCGACGATCATTCGAGTAGTGATAGTGAGGAATCATATTCACCAGTGAAGCATCGGTATGTTCGCCGCCGCATGCGCTCGGGTAGTGTACCCTATGCTGTGCCCAGGGGACGGAGTACATCCCAGAGTACGTCCCGTGGCCCTACACCAGTTTTAGGTAGTGATAGTGAGGATGATGTGGCTACACTTGGCATGGATAGACCACAGACATCAGCGGATGGTGTTAGTGGTGATGGTAGTGGCACCGCCATGCGTGACTCACCAGCCCAGGGTGGGACCCACGCTGCTGACTCGTCAGTTCAAGGACAAAGCGGAGCGTCAGCCACCAGCCCACCACAACCACCCGCACAACCAGCCTATGATGTCCAGTATCCACCAGCAAACCGTATGTGGGATTGGCAGCAAAATCCCAATTTTGTTCCCAAGCCTCACCACTTTGATGACTCTGAAAGTGGAATTCTACCTACTTGTCCCCTTGGAACCACGGCCAATGAACTGGAATTCTTTGAATTATTCTTTGACCAGCCATTGATGGAAACTATTGTCAGGGAAAGTAATAAGTATTTTGAGTACACCATGGCAAATACGATCATATCACCACAGTCAAGACTACACAGGAGGAAAGAGATGACTGTTGCAGAAATGTATTTGCTTTTTGCAACAATAATGCTTATGCCTCATGTCTATAAGCATAATATAAAAGCAAACTGGTCCACAGATCGGCTAATTTCTACCCCGGTCTTCAGTGAAATCATACCATATGTTGCACTTCTCTGACAAAACCAGGCCTGACAGAAGTGACAGGTTATACAAGATTAGAAATGTTTTCATGTATCTCAAACAAAAGTTCAGCATATACTTTTATCCATTCAAGAATCTTGTAATTGACGAGTCTTTGATTTTGTTCAGAGGTAGACTGTCATTCAAGCAGTATATACCGAGCAAGAGGAAACACTTTGGTATAAAACTGTTTGTACTCTGTGACTGTGACAGTGGCCTGGTGTTGGATATTGTTGTATACACGGGAAGTAAAACATTGAAAGATACCAAGATGTTATTGGGTATCTCAGGTGACGTAGTGAGAAACATGATGGCACCTTATCTTGGTAAGGGGCATACATTATATACCGATAACTGGTACACAAGCCCATTACTCAGTGATTTCATGCGAGTGAACAAGACAGATGTGTGTGGCACAGTGCGTTCTAATCGTAAACATAGGCCCAGGCTCAATGCAGGTGCTCGTGGTGATGGCATGCAGGTGTTTACTGCCAATGACATCATGGCATTATGGTGGCATGACAAACGAGATGTCACATTGTTGACAACCATTCACTGTAATGAAATGCAAGACAGTGGCAAAGTTGATCGAGTGACTAACGAACGTATTCGAAAACCAGTGACAGTGATTGATTATACACAAAACATGCGCTTGGTTGACAAATGTGACATGCAGATTGGTTTGGTTGACTGTGTTCATAAGAGTTACAAGTGGCACATGAAACTTTTCTTCCATCTCATGGACATTTCAATGCTCAATGCATATAATATGTACCAAATAAAGACCGGCAACAGACCACCGTATGGTGAATTTTGTTTGTCTGTTGTCAGACAACTCATAATGAAGTACCAGGTAAGAACACCTGCTATACAACAAGGTCCTCGAATTACTCAGGATATACCCAAGCGTTTGAGGAGGGAAGGTGATCATTTCATAATACAGCTTCCTTCAACTCAAAAGAAATTTGCTCAATAGAGATGCATCGTCTGTGCACAAACAAAACGACGGCAACAAAGACGCAAAGACACTCGGTTTATGTGTGAGGAATGTAAGGTGCCTCTGTGCATGGTGCCTTGTTTCAAGGAGTTCCACAAGCTCCAGCAGTTCTAAAACCATGTCCAGTGATTGTAAATATGTAAATATATGATAGAACATTAGTATTATACAAGATTTGTGCATGTTTATTGTAATAAACAAGTGGTAAACAATAATATGATAATAACTTTAGTGCAGTTATTGTGTTCAATACAGTGAGTTTATATATATACATTATATACAGTATTGGTCTCTCAGGCCCCAAATGTTAGTAGGAATAGAAAAAAATTGGAAAAGAAAAGAAAAAACTATAAAAACCGCTAAATAATGTAATGCGCGTATGTGGAATTCGTCGATGTTGCCGCCACCACATCATTTTTGACAAACTTCTTGGCACTGTATCTTGGTAAGTACTGATCAGATTTTTTTTTTTTTGTATTATTACCTTCACAAAAGTATGCTCTTTAATTCTGTAAGAAATTTTTTTTTTTTTTTTTTTTCAAAATTTCTTGGACACTGGAGCACCACTTCAGATTTTGGCCTTGGATCCTGAAGGGGTTAAGACTACAAATGCAACAGAAATAATAGTATTTCTTACCTTAAATTGTGGGTGCTGGTGTTTGTCGATGATTGAGAAGAGAGTGGAGTTATGCTGTGGTCCTACTGGGCTGAGGTGGATGGTAGAGGTTCTGGTACTGAAGTCGATGGTTGTACTGGAGTGTACATAAATCAGTCAAGTCAGTCAGTCAATTCAGTAAGTCAGTCACTCAGTAAGTCAGTCAGTCAAGTCAGTCAGTCAAGTCAGTCAGTCATTCAGTCAGTCATTCAGTCAGTGAAGTCATTCAGTAAGTCAGTCAGTGAAGTCATTCAGTAAGAAAGCCAAGTCTTTCAGTCAGTCAAGTCATTCAGTAAGTCAGTCAGTCAAGTCAGACAGTCATCACACAAACTCGTATATACCTCCTCCTTTTTGTGTACAAAATGATGCTTCATTCCGGCTACAGGTTATCTCGTCTAATATCTCTATTTTCTGTGTTAATTCTAAGACTTAAACCTTTTCTTGCAACTTTCAGCAACACTTGTATGCCTACTGGGTGCTATGTTTGCTTGGCAGATTTAAGATATGGCAATTATTACGTATCTAAACAAACACAGCGAGCTATTGGCACAGGTTCGTCTAGCACACGTATGAACCGAACTGAAGGCTGGGTGGGTGGTGGGGGTGGCTGATGCTGGCAGGGGATAGCTGTAGCCCATTTCACCCTGCGGGCGACCGAGCACTCAAAACTTTTTCCCCTCCCGCAACCGTGTTAACTAATTTTACAAAGTGTTAAATGTAAATATGCTGCAATTCTTCAATCGTGCTACAACCAAAATGTGCAAGACAAAACCGTGTTAACTGATGGTCTACTGTACCGCCAAATATTTGTTATTTTGTAAAAAGTTCTTATATAATAACTCCAAGAAAAATAATATATTTTTAAATTATAAAGTTAAGTAACCTTTTAATGACTTTGCTTTTTGTAAGAAAGCATTTCGATATTTGACTAAAACATGGAGGTCCACAGCTGCAGCTGATCCTCCAAGTGTGTATCCATTTATTGGGACCTAAAGGGCATCTTGACTTGGGTTAGGTAGGAGAATGTTGATTCGTAACAATAAGTGGGTGAGAGACAAGAAAGCATTCATCATGAATGTTGCCATAGATGTGGGTATTCTATTGCATTTTTCCATATATCACTGGGATCTTTCTTAGCATCAAAGAGGGACTTTAAAATGTTAGGTTCCAAGAAATCAATCAGTTCCATCTGTAGCTCTTTAGGGACCTTGAGACATCAACTAGGTGAGGCTGAAATGTTAATTTCAGTGTGAGGTCATGATTTTTCAAAGTCAGTGAACCTATCATTGTATTCTTTAGATAATCCATCTATAATATCAGCACATTCTTTAAATGATTCACATGACCCCTGCTCATTAATGGCCTTTGCTAGCTGGGGAAAGTGTTCATCTGAAATTTCCATTTGAGCAAGAAGAGTTTTGAAAAATAATAGCTTTTTTTTGAAATGCTTGAATTTCCTGCCATATCATATATAGATTTAGTTTTACCTTGATAATAAATATTCATGCCATTTTGCTTTGATATATCACACAGAAATGCAGCATTTTTATGGGTCCTACACAGATGACAGCAAGGAAATGAGTGAGCTACTCAAGTCCCAATATGACTCAGTCTTTAGCAAGCCGCTAACCAGACTGAGAGTCGAAGATCAAAATGAATTTTTTATGAGAGAGCCACAAAATTTGATTAACACAAGCCTATCCGATGTTATCCTGACGCCAAATGACTTCGAACAGGCGATAAATGACATGCCCATGCACTCTGCCCCAGGGCCAGACTCATGGAACTGTGTGTTCATCAAGAACTGCAAGAAGCCCCTATCACGAGCCTTTTCCATCCTATGGAGAGGGAGCATGGACACGGGGGTCGTCCCACAGTTACTAAAAACAACATACATAACCCCACTCCACAAAGGGGGCAGTAAAGCAACAGCAAAGAACTACAGACCAATGGCACTAACATCCCATATCATAAAAATCTTTGAAAGGGTCCTAAGAAGCAAGATCACCACCCATCTAGAAACCCATCAGTTACACAACCCAGGGCAACATGGGTTTAGAACAGGTCGCTCCTGTCTGTCTCAACTATTGGATCACAACGACAAGGTCCTAAATGCACTAGAAGACAAAAAGAATGCAGATGTAATATATACAGACTTTGCAAAAGCCTTCGACAAGTGTGACCATGGCGTAATAGCACACAAAATGCGTGCTAAAGGAATAACAGGAAAAGTCGGTCGATGGATCTATAATTTCCTCACTAACAGAACACAGAGAGTAGTCGTCAACAGAGTAAAGTCCGAGGCAGCTACGGTGAAAAGCTCTGTTCCACAAGGCACAGTACTCGCTCCCATCTTGTTCCTCATCCTCATATCCGACATAAACAGGGATGTCAGCCACAGCACCGTGTCTTCCTTTGCAGATGACACCCGAATCTGCATGACAGTGTCTTCCATTGCAGACACTGCAAAGCTCCAGGCGGACATCAACCAAATCTTTCAGTGGGCTGCAGAAAACAATATGAAGTTCAACGATGAGAAATTTCAATTACTCAGATATGGTAAACATGAGGAAATTAAATCTTCATCAGAGTACAAAACAAATCTGGCCACAAAATAGAGCGAAACACCAACGTCAAAGACCTGGGAGTGATCATGTTGGAGGATCTCACCTCAAGGACCATAACATTGTATCAATCGCATCTGCTAGAAAAATGACAGATGGATAATGAGAACCTTCAAAACTAGGGAGGCCAAGCCCATGATGACACTCTTCAGGTCACTTGTTCTATCTAGGCTGGAATATTGCTGCACACTAACAGCACCTTTCAAGGCAGGTGAAATTGCCGACACTAGAAATGTACAGAGAACTTTCACGGCGCGCATAACGAGGTAAAACACCTCAATTATTGGGAGCGCTTGAGGTTCCTAAACCTGTATTCCCTGGAACGCAGGAGGAGAGATACATGATTATATACACCGGAAAATCCTAGAGGGACTATTTACCGAACTTGCACACAAAATCACTCACTAAAGAAACAAAAGACTTGGCAGAAAAAGATCACCATCCC